ATCCTCGTGGATTCATCTTCTTATTACAGACACATGCATTTCCTAACATTCGGTCTATATGCTGTAAAATGTATTATCTCTTCGATTTACACACAGCATATATTGCACGTCTGTCCGTCCTGGGAGAGGGATCCCTCCTCTGTTGCTCTCCCTGAGGTTTCTCCCATTTTTTCCTCTCAAACTGTGGGTTTTTCTCTGGAAGTGTTTCCTTGTACGATGTGAGGGTCTAAGGACAGAGGGTGTCGTTTTTCTCATACTGATATTCTGAACAATCTGTGCTGTTGTATTTGCTGTAAAGTGTCTCTACTGTAGGCTAATTTTATTATATGTACAGCACTTTGGCTCGACCAAAAATCGTTTATAAATGTGCTATATAAATAAAACTTGATTTGATTTGATTTGCTTTGACTCACACAGCCTCAGTCACTTAATCACCTCGTCCACTGTGTGTGTGCCTCTCTGTGACAAGCTAAACATCCACGCAGGTCATCATGTCACAGTCTAAACTGTATTCACAAAAATACAGAGAGGAGTGGGAATCAAACCCTGAGTTTAAAGGATGGTTGAAGCCATTTATTGGAGATGACACACGGGCATACTGTAGGGTGACCATATTTTGATTTCCAAAAAAGAGGACATGCTGCCCCCAGCCTCGAGATACTTAATGATACTCAACGTTTACTCAAAGATGCCTTATTGTTTTAAAGTATGCCTCCTCTGTATGGATATACTTTATATTTTTTACTGTATATAACACAATAATATCTCTCTATAACCAAAGACACACCAAACCAAGGTTACTCAACAATCAACATGCTTTATTATGCCTACAATTATCTCTGACAAATCTCAAATGCACAAGAATAACTTAAACATCAACCTGTAACAAAATAATAGCTCTCTTTTCAAGTCTTACTGGACAAAAATAAATAACAAAATATATGAAATAGTATAAAATAGAAAATCCAGCTTTAACAAATAATCTCTTTGTATCTTGTCAATGTAAACAATAAAACAGTAACCTCACAAAGATACTAATCTAATTATTTTAAAAGTGCACTATGCAGTTTTGGATTTTACATTTGCATAATTTCCATTAGTGAACATAACATAACATTTGATTACCTAAATCAAACCAAACACATTTTGAGGCACCATGAACCAAATATAGGCCTACTTTAAATGTTTGTAAACACAATTCCAGGCCCTGTCATTGTAAACAACCAGTGAAACGACAACTTTTCACATATTTCTAGCTTCAAACAGTTTTCTAGGGTCCCAATTTAAAATTAAAAGTTTAAAGTTTCTCTCCCACAGCTACATAGCTTTCTCTCTCTGCATAGCTGCATACTTCAATCTTCTTCATCCTGCTTTTCTTCTTCATCCTCCTTGTCTGCCCATCGATATTTAGCTGTGGAGCTGATCTTTCCCAGCAGTTTTCGGTTGCTCAACAAATAAGCATGAAAGTCTTTGCAAGACATGTCTTTCAAATTGTATTGCACAAATAGAATCCCCTTCAGTGACTCAACAGACAGCTGGTTCCTCTCCTTGGTCCACTGGCTCTTGTTAGAAATTAAAATCAATGTTGGTATGGCGTAATTTGAATTAAATACACTATTTAATTTAAATCAGTTTTATTCTGAAAAACCGGAAGTTCACTAACTATGAACTTAATACTTTTATTCTGAAAATTATTCACTTCCGGTTATGCTGCATTTTCAAATGCTGCATTTTCAAACCGTGAATCAAAGGTGAAATGACATGTGATGTTGTACACTGAGCACACTGGGTTTAGCACTCATGTATTGCCGCTGAATAACGTTTATTAGGGAATGTTTAAATAACCACAGACACCAGAATGATATAATTTAACAACAGAAAAAGGCAGGAATTGCATTGGACCCGCCCCCGACGACGCCGGCCAATAGGAGAAGACCTCAGATGACAACAGGAAGAGCAAGCCAATAATTGACCTCTTCTACCTGCTGACCTGGACTGACCGGTCGGATGAGGAGAGCGCCTCCAATCGCACATTTCATTTTGTACACCACCGCATCTTTTGTGCAATTAAATGCTGTTAACTTTTATAAGTTTCCCTTGACTCTTTTCAGTCTCTCCTGCCTTCAGGGTTCTAAAATACACTAACATTTGGCGTCCCTGGGTGGACCCTGAAGCGGGATAGAGCTGGAAAAGAGGGGAAGGCTGCAAGGTAACTAGCATCACATTATTCTGCAGAAAATGAGTTTTTGGCTGGGCCTAAACGAAAGGTGAGACAGTTACCTGTTTAATTCCGTGGTGATTGCGAGTGGTGTGGAGATTGTATATAGTGTTTCTATTCGTCTCTGTTGTATCTTCGGCGCCGCCCGATTAATGTGAATATTACATGGTATTAAGACCTTCTGGGGAGGCACTATATTTTATCTGGGATAGGACTGGGTCCACATTGTGTTAAATACCTCTGGGTAGGTACCAGACCTGATCTGTTTTACACTGGACTGGGTCCATTCATGTTAGTTTATATGTTTGATGTGTTAAACCTGCGTAGTCTGGTTTAATAACGTATATTGTGTGGAGTTTTTAAGCCAAAAAGTATATTTTTGTGTGATGTTCTAAGCCGAAACGATTGTGTACAAGATTGGTATGAGATCAGCTTTTAAGGTCAGCATCTATAGAATTTAGAGCTAAGATAAATGAAGATTGTGTTTTGTATTGTCAAGCAGTGTGGTTTTTTTATCTGCAGATGTTGAGTGTTCCCATTGTTCCCCTTCCCCCAGTCACATGAGGTTAATGCTATACTGCTAAACTAGTTAGCTAGCCAGTTAGCATTACTAGATGGTGAAATACTTTGAGTAAAGATACAACTGGTAACTACTGATTAAATACACAGGGATGGTGTAGATCAGGGGTCCCCAAACTTTTTCCTGTGAGGGCCACATAACTTTTCCCTTCTCTGATGGGGGCCGGGTCAGTTTGTAACAGAAAAAGTGTGACGATCGCATGGGTGTCTAAACATAAACATTTATTGTTTTCTAGAAAGCCACACATAACCAAATATTAATAACCCTTTCCGGGATCTTCACAGAAAAAAAGTCAGGAAATAAATAATAACACTATTAATGAAATAAATAACACTATTTATGAAATAAATAATAACCAAATAACCCTCTCTGGGTTCTTCACAGAAAAAAAGTCCATTGAAAATTACTGTAACTTTCTGTTGTGCCGTGCACAATCTTAACAGGTAAAAGTTTAGCTTAGTTGTCAGAGCAGAATCTCTCAAAAATAAACGTGGATTTACGTAAAATTACGTAATAAATTCAGGGAAAACTCCGGCTTTCCGGTCCTACGAAGCTGGTTCTCTTTTTAGCAGGCTAGATCTCCATGGTAACTTATGCTTAGCGGCTAACCTGGTCGGGACCAGGTTAGGTTGCAGGCTAAGAGCTCAACTCAGTGAAAGCACTGCCTGCTGACCAATCAGAGCTCAGTGTGCGGAGTTTAAAGCGATCAAGTCATATTACAGGAGAAAGGAAATACAGAAAAACTGCCGTTGCAGGAAAGACGGCCGGCAAAAATCACTGACTGTGTGAACGTGAACATTAATAGAATATCACCTCCCATCTTCAGAGCAATCTGACTATTATAACATTAGCGTTAAGAAAGCTACTTAATATTCACCAAACATAGTAACCGGATCAGAGTAACATTAAGTACAGTCCGCGGCATATCACTTCATAATGTATCATATATTTCCTTATCTGAGTCAGCTGAGCCGTATCTGCGCCGTGCAACACTCACAGTGTCACATACTGTATGCAGAAGTATTATTTTAAGCAACACATTAAGTTGACGAAACACTCGAGACAAATGTAATTAAAGTCAGATCGTGTCTTAGACGGGGCAGTGATATCATAAACCTGTAATGTACGCATTCAAACACTTTTTCTTTAACAGCTGTATTCACCTCGCAGGTGCCTATGTGGCTTTATCCTGGATAAAGTGTTTAAGTCATGGATGTTTAAAGTTTAACTTCTTCATATGTCTAATATTAAAGTTCACTTTTCATTCAGGAAGTATGACGCTGCGCTGTCAGTACGCTTCTCCATGTTTGTGATTGGTCGAATGCTCCAAATACCACCCCTTTCATGTGAACGCGCACTTAACTAGATAGGACACGGCTGGCTTGAGCGATCCACTTGATAACCCGCGTCGTAGTACCGTTTAGCGAGAGCGCGTATGTTTTAGATTAGGCCAACCGGCTAACTCAAACATATCCAGGTTAGGTTGAACCAGCTTCGTAGTACAGGCCCCAGGAGCCGGGTAAATGAGAGACTGAGGAGCCCCAGAAAAACAGATCCCGAAATAGCTCGAAGACCCCTTCGGGTCTTCTGGGTTGAGAAAGCCTCATTTGGGGGACCGGAGCCTGTCATCCAATCAGATCAGAGCACCTTAGATCAATTCAAGCCAGTGAACCAACCACCCAGATCCCCCCACCACAAATACTCTGTGACTCCCCCTGCTGGCTGCATGCTTGATATGACAGGTAAAGAGATGTTATGAACTTGTGACAAGCAAAGAATAAGCAGGACATCTCAGTCATTGAGCACCTCTCCTCCAAGGAAATTAGGACTAATTACTCCTGCAGCATTTGCTTTTGATCTGTTTTTTGAAAATTATGTAACTTTTTTAGCATATTGTTTTATATTATAACTTAGTACTTTTTTAGCATATTGTTGTGTTGTTTGTTTATTATATTATAACTTAGTACTTTTTTAACGCATGTAAGATATGCAACACTAAGCTGTCTGTGGTTCTTTCCTGCTGTAACGCTGCAAATTCCCCCTCTGTGGGACTAAAGGTATTCTGATTCATTTATGTACTATGTGTATTTTCAATGCAGTGTTTTTATATGTATTGTTCAAACTATTTAAAATAAAGTTTTCTAAAAAGGCAAAAGGACATCTCCTTCATTGTCAAAAGCAAGGAATAAGCAGTCAGAGATATTCAAGTTTAAAAATACCTTTATATTTATTTATTTACAAGTTTTACAAATTAAAATTAGGAAGACTTTTTGTTCAGGATTGCGGCCTTCTTCTTCTTCTTCTTCCTGTTGACCCTCTGTCAGTCCCTCAGCATTTCCTTCTCCGTTTTCCCTCCCCTCAACTCAGTGAGCCACTGCTCCACTGTGCGGTTCTGGGGGTCAGAAACCTGGCAGAAACTCTGCCTCGTCGGGCGGTGCATGCTATGCCCTGTCGCCCGGGTCATTCTCTGGCTGCATAGCGTGCAGGTGCGGTCACGCCTGGTAGGGAACACACCGGCTGCAGCAGAGGCCATCTTTATTTGCAACCTCCACCCTGTGGTCTTCGGGACGTTGACCTTCAGCCACTGATCCAGGGTCATTCCTGAAGTGGCACGGCAGAAGGTCAAGCCTTGGAGGGAGAGGTGCTCAATCACTGAGATGTCCTTTGAGCAGCCAGGACAAACGTGTGGGGGATCTACAACACACACACACACACACACACACACACACACACACACACACACACACCACACACCACACACCAGGTTTAATGAAAGTGCAGTCAACATCAAACAATATAAAAAATATAATGTAATCAGCACCTTCATGCTCTGATTTTGAGATAGTTGTGTTAACAGAGTGTGTCTACATGTGTTCTGGTGATTTCCTAACCTTCTCTCTTCTTCTTGTTCTTGATTTTCTTCTTCTTCTTCTTCTTTTTCTTCTTCTTCTTCTTGTTCTTCTTCTGTAGAAGAGTTTTCTGAGCAGCCCGTTCTGCATGAGGAGCAAAAAGGAAGACATGGTTTTAAGTTAACAGTACATTATCACCACCTTCATACACTGAAAGTGAGATGTTTTTCTCAGAGAAATTAGGGACATTTTGTTTAGATCGTAAACAAATAAATAAAAGAAACGTAATAACCGTGTTTACTTTTTGAAAGCACTGGGGGCCAGAACGGTTTGCAGAATTGAAACCTTTTGGGAATCCTGTAGGAGGCAGGGGAGGCCTTCCATTTAGCGATTGCCCTCCCCAAGTCCGTTTGGTTCATTGTTTTTGTCATATCTGCTAGAGAACAACAGTGAAGTTATTGGAGCTGCACATATCAACACCAGAGAGACACAGCAGAGGATCAGAGGAGGACAGATGTACTCACCCATAGCTGTAGCCAGACTGCGAGAAAAAGGAGAGTTCCTGCATTTCTGTACCTCTTGCTCAAAGGTGTAAAAGCTTTCATCCAATCAGATCAAAGACCTGTGGATCACCCTGCCCTCCTGACCCGAGATGAGCCATCAGGTTTATAAAGGAAATCATGGCTCCACAGGATGCTGTAATGAACGACTCTGACACCTGCTTTGAGGACGTTTTCAGGACATCTCCTCCTGCCAGGATGCCCTAAGGAACGACTCTTTCACACCCACTGTGGGAAAGCTTCAGTCTCTGGACTCTCACATACTGGGTTCTTCTGTACTCATGTTACTAATCACTCATTTATGTACTATGTGTCTTTTCAATGTAGTGTTTTTATCTGTATTGTTCAAACTATTTAAAATAGAGTTTTCTAAAAAGGCAAAAGGACGTTCCTGTTTGAAACCTGCTGAACTTCAATTGAAGCGCAACAACAGCAGAGGACGAGTGTTGGAAACCACAGCAAGTCAATCAACACAGATATTTAAGTTTGAACTCTTTATTTGAAAAATATATTTACATTATAAACATGTTATTGTGTCCAGTGTTTCTTATTGGAGGGACTCCAACCACTCCTCAGGGCTCCTCTCTTTGGCCAAAACAGGGCAGTAGCTCACTCTCTCCCCGCTGGCCTTCACCAGGAGTCTGTGCCCCGTCTCCTTTATCTTTCTCAGCCCACAGGAGGAGCACTTGTTCTGAGACGGGGCTCTGAGTCTCCGACTCTCCCCCCTCTGAGCTGCCTCCGCCTGCTGCTTCTGCAGTCTGAGACGGTTGTAATTTGTGGACTTGGGAGTGTATGAGGCGGAGGAGGAGGAGGAGGGGGCGGAGGAGGAAGAGGAAGAGGAAGAGGGGGTGGCAGGAAAGGGCTCCTCTTCTTCCGGGGGCCGCAGCTCTTTGAAGAGGGTGCCAGGGCCAGGCAGGGGCTCCTCTGCTCGCGGCTCCTCTCCTTGGGGCTCCTCCTCCTCAATTGACGTCTCAGAAAGAAGGGCCTCCTCTGCCGTCCGGGGGGCCTGCAGCGCTTGGATCCCAGAGGTGAGGATGATCTTCTCCTGGGCCGCTGTCCACCTCTTGTGCCTGCAGAGTGAACACAGAGGATTAATAAGAGATCTTGTCGGGGCCTCAGAAGATTGTCCTGTGTGAATGAACAGACTCACCACTGAGAGAGGGTCTGCTGGTTGACCGTAAACAGCTGGAGGGTCGTCCTGGCTACGAGCGCTGGACATCTATAAACCGTAGCTCTGACCTGGTCGTATGCCGTGATCACCAGAGTCCAGCGGCTCCGGAGGAACCCCCACTGTGTTCTGCTGCTGGGGATTAGCTGGCAGAGGAGGATGAAGATGTCCCCACCAACCGGCTGGGTGTCGGGCCACGTGGCGGGGCCGCTGCCTGTTCCCACCATGCAGCTGGAACCAGAGGAGAGAGGGTGAGTGGATATGAAAACCTGTAAGAGAGCATACACAGCAGTGGCTGCTTCACCTACCGCTTCATGCTTTCCAGCCCGGGGACGGCCTCTGTGTTGGCTGTGGATGGCTGTTGACTTCTTGAACCTCCCGTGTGTCAGCTGGGCCCTGTGAGCGTGAGGGATACACTAACACGGCCCTTATCCACATCCAGGAGGTTCTGCCAAAGACCCATGAGCACCTCCACCTCCTCCTGGGTGATGTCTTCCCTTCTCACAAATCTCCACCAGACCGTGGGGCCAGCCGACGCACCTGCTGGTAGCCGGGGCTGCAACATTGACAGCAGTGGCCTGATGCGAAGGCCCAGGAAGAGGTGGAGGATGCTGCAGCAGCAGCTGAGGAGGAGACCGTGGAGCAGGAGGAGGAGGAGCAGCAGGAGGAGCAGCAGGAGGAGCAGGAGGAGGAGGATGCCGTGGAGCAGGACGCCGTGGAGCAGGACGCCGTGGAGCAGGACGCCGTGGAGCAGGACGCCGTGGAGCAGGACGCCGTGGAGCAGGACGCCGAGCAGGACGCCGTGGAGCAGGACGCCGTGGAGGAGGAGCAGGATACCGTGGAGCAGGACGCCGTGGAGCAGGACGCCGAGCAGGATGCCGTGGAGCAGGACGCCGAGCAGGATGCCGTGGAGCAGGATGCCGTGGAGCAGGATGCCGTGGAGCAGGACGCCAAGCAGGATGCCGTGGAGCAGGACGCCAAGCAGGATGCCGTGGAGCAGGATGCCGTGGAGCAGAAGGAGGAGGAAGAGGAGTAGGAGGAGCAGGAAGATCAAAGAAATTCTCTCTGTCGTGGTCATATCCCTCCTCCTCCTCCTCCTCCTCCTCCTCCTCCTCCTCCTCCTCCTCCTCCTCCTCCTCCTCCTCCTCCTCCTCCTCCTCCTCCTCCTCCTCAACAGTCACCTCCTCGCTGTCATCGGGCTCATCGGGATCCTCAGGGAGGGGCTGCAGAACCTTTCCCGTTTGGTTGTACAGATAGCTGATCCTGATGAGCTCACCTGAGGAAGAAAAGAGTAAATACATTCTTAATAGCACAGCTATTCTTCACCTGGTGGTGTTCTCTGCAGAGCCCCACACAGAAACTGTAGAGGAAACTTCTGTGTAGCATGCAGTGGAGTCACCGACTCAGGAAGGAGACACGGGAAGAGTCGGAGCTTTGATGTCAAACCACTGTGATTTATTTGGAGTTGGTACCAGAGTATTCACATCACAAATCCAAGAGTCAGAGGTTCTGACTCCACGGTAGAGTTGCCACGTCAATTCTGGAGAGCCTCTCTCTTGCCAGCCCATCTAACTGGTTTCGCAGAGAGTAAACAACATATTTGAGGAGATAGCCTAACAGTGTGGGAACACAGAGCTACTTGCCTCGGACACTTATGACCTCGAAGATTTTACCTTGGAGTCCCACAAATACAGAGAAGGAAGTGTCCCAGTGTACCCACAACACAGACCATCTGTATCCCAGTATTGACCGGTCACAGAATGGGAACAATAACATTATTGGCTAAGCCGCCTGTGTCCTTAAAGAAGGTAAACAGACATCGAGGTTTGTCCTGTATGTTACTAATTGGCGTCTTATGATAATTATTTCCACAACAGAAACCTTCCAGAAGCATCGGCTCTGAAGCATCACCTGTGTACTGCAGCAGCTTCACGTAGCTCTCCACCAGCGTGCTCTGGAAGAACTGCTGCGTGAGCTGGTGGAGAGTGTATTGCTCCTGGCCGCTGTAGCAGCTGGTGCCAGCCCCCTCGGCCCCCGCTGCCGCCTTTCCCCGGTCCTCGTTCCACCTCGTGAGCCCCTCCAACAGGAACATCTGGAAAAAGGTCCCCCTCGCAGAGGAGCCTGCAACATGACACACAAACGTCAGGATTTACACCCAGGGAGAGAAAGTGTAGAACTCTTAGAGCACGGTGCCTCACCCGGGATGAACCTGTTGAGGTGCAGGTGGAAGGACTCCAGGGACGTGGAGCCACGGGCACAGCGGTAGACGGGCAGAGACACCCCCCCCCCGGGTCAGCTGTCCCGTCCTGGTGTACAGGCGGACACCAGCAGGATCCTGAAGGGGAGAGGCTCTGATTAATCAGTGTTTTGTCTTAACATAAAACTGTTGAATGGTTTTCATGTAAGAGCTGTACCTGAATGCAGGGGATGTGTTGCCTCTGTGTCTCCAGGATCTGCTCCATGCGGTGCCGCTCCAGCAGGGGGACGTTCATGTATCAGTGGCCCCCATGAACGCCTCCACCGCCTCTCCAAGGAGACGCTCGGTCTCCTGCACCCCACGCGTTCGGCGGCGGCAGTGCCGACCCATCTCCTTGCTGGACGGCGTCCTTCTGGACCCGTCCGCCTGCAGGGCCGTCTCCAAGAGGGACAGGTCCTCCGCGTCCCACTCAAAAATGCAGCTGGAGAGACGCCGCATGTACTCGGGGTAGAGGGGGTGGCTCTCCGAGGTCACACCTGCTGCCAGTCGGCGTATAAAATGCCAGATGTCCAGCCTGACAGCCAGGTGTGGCCAGGCGGGGAAGAGAGCAGCTGCAGCGCAGGTGCCTCCGTCCCTCCGGCAGCAGTCCCTGTCCACATACAGGACCTGTGGAGGCTCCTTCCCTGCCAGCTGGTACCGCTCCTGCAGGCCCATTGTCATGTCTCTCAGGCCGTAGCCCTCAGCGGCCGTCAGCACGGACCTGCCCCAGCTCGTTCCCCACGCTGCTCATCCACAGAGCGGTACCAGCGTCGGCTCCCGCCAGCTTCTTGGTCACCTGTGTCAAATGATCATATAATCATTTAAAAACATATAGTCCTTATACTTCCGATTGACTTATACACTGTTTCATTGTATTGTTAGTCTTGTATGTGTTTACAGAGACAGATGTTTAAGGGTTTACATTTCAGGAGGGTAAAGGTGATTACATTACATTACATTTCTCACCTTCTTGGTGGAGTCCATTTTGAGGATGGAGCCAAAGATTGAAGTCACCTTCGCCTTAAGCTCCTCTATCCTCGTGAAGGACTCCAGGACGTAGGGGACAGAAGCCAGCCGCTGCTGGGACAGTCACCCATCTGTGGTGGAGGCTGAGGAGGAGGCATCTGCACACCTGCACACCTCAAACTTTCCTGCAGGTGTTTTAGGTAGTGGATGCTCCTCCTCATCCACTCTGCCGTGTGCTGCTCCACCAGGAAGGAGTGCAGCCGGCTGGCGCTGTTGCCGAGCGTGCGCCCCTTCATCTGAGCCAGCGCCTTCTGGTCACAAGAGAGCCTGCAGCACCAACACAGACGCAGAGGTGAACACCAAACCATCTCAATGCCCTTCAAACACCACTGTGTCCTGCAGCGTGATGTTTACCTGTAGGTCAGCACAGCAGGGAAGAGCAGCTGGTGGTCCAGGTCCAGCTGGCTCCTGATGCTCGCAGACCAGCTGGCACACTTCTTTGTGCAGGAGCTGGGACAGAAAGGTTTATTGGTGTATCTGCTACTACTGATAGTTATAATCATAAATAATGTCTATGTAACCAAAGCATCAAGCACACACAGAGTGTTCTTGTAAATGTATCAGTACCTGCACTCCAGGTACTCCGTCCCCATGTAGTACCACCCGTCCATGTCCAGAACTCTGCGCACGGTCTTGTACAGACCGCCACCTGTCAGCTTGTGTGCGCAGTTTGGACACTTCAGGTGGTACTTCCACCTCTTGTATGGAGCCTAGAGGAAGAAGGGCCGCTGGAAGAAAGCATCTGGGTAGGGCCGCTGGGAGTACTTCGGCCAGGGGCCTGGGGGGGTGGTGCCACAGCTGGAGCTCCGGGGACAGGACGGGCCTCCCTGCCCTGTCAGCCACAAATAGAGCCCTGCTGACCCACTCGTGCTGCTCTGCAGGGAGGCTGCTCCTCCAGGCTGCCGGCAGGAGCAGCTGCAACACACACAGGTCACTGAGCTGCAGCTTCACACTACACACTGGTACTAGATGTTTACAACAACATTATTACAGACCTGAGGGGGAGGAGTGACTAGTCGCAGAGGAGGTGGTGCCTGAGTTGCCAGAGCTCTCTGCTGCTGGGCAGGACGAGGAGGAGGAGGAGGAGGAGGAGGAGGAGGAGGAGGAGGAGGAGGAGGAGGAGGAGGAGGAGGAGGAGGAGGAGGAGGAGGAGGAGGAGGAGGAGGAGGAGGAGGGGGAGGAGGAGGAGGAGGAGGAGGAGGAGGAGGAGGAGGAGGAGGAGGAGGAGGAGCTGTGCACAGCAGAAAAACCCACTTGACATACCAAATAGATGTTATTATACAAAGCTTAATAATGACACAAAGCACAGACTTACCTAAATCAGCCTCCACCTGAAGCCGCAGCCTCCACCATCAGGTGGTCGTCCTCGTCTTCTGGAGGAAGCTGCAGACACAATTTAAAAAATGTTCACTCATCACACAACCCCTGACTGACACAGTAAACACTCCACTGACATGATACATACACAGGACCGCTTGCTTCTCTTCCTCCGCTGTTTGGGGGGATGAGATGTAGTGGAGGGGGAGACAGCTGGGGAAGGGTGGCGGCTGCTGATGCAGCTGAGGAGGCGACAGGCTGCTTCTCCTTGTCCCTTCTGTCGATATAAAGAGGGATGATAAGAATAACAAGTTTAATAACAGAATATGAAATGAGAAAAACATGTAGTAACAGTCTGAATAGAAATAAGGAAAATAACATGAGTAAAAGCTGGTTCTGATTTGAAAGATAACACTTTTCCATCAGCTCAACATTAACCTCAGAGGTCTGACTTTAAATGAATGATACTTATTACATTATAATAATAATATTCGCCCTATGGTAGCCTTCATATACATGTTAACTTTAGTACACTAACACATAGTAAATACAAATTACCATGAGCATTAACTTCATGAACATTTACATTTTACGTTAGTGCAAAGTAAAAAAGCATAATGTGTTTTGCACCTAGCAAAGTGCAGGAGAAATGCATGTTGTTGCCGTAGTTCTACTGTTAACACTGTAAATGGCGGATTGGCAACTTTTAATCACGAATTGTGCATACAGATGTTAACTTCATAAACGTTAGCACATAGCAATAAACATTAAATGACAAGTATTTACGGATTTAAACGGCCGGAAAGCTCCAGTGTGTTTCTGGCTTAGCGGCAACTTGTTACCAATGCTAATATGCGCGAACGTTAAAAGACAACACATTGGCATTCATCTATATTACATTATAACGGACTGTCGTGTTAAGAGTAATAGCGGAGTTTATGTTACCTTTTCAAAAGCCTGTCAGTTATGATGGCTGTTCATTTACAGTGAAGACAAGACGCTCCCCGCTCAATGAGACGTCATCCAATCAGAGTACTAGAACTAAGTGAGCCGACCAATGGGTGGACACAAGATGTAAACGATAATGCCATAGAAATGAACGGGAGGGGCGGGACTCTAAATGAGACTTTTTGAGCCTGAGCAGGCCCGATTATCCTCGCCCCCTAAGCGCAAGGATGACACGCAAATTCGTGAAGCGTTCCTCATTGCCAATTTGTAATGATTTTTCCAACATAAATCCCGATTCCTATCAAGCAGAGGTGGAAGAAGTACTCAGAACTTCCAGTTAAGTAAAAGTGAGGTTGCTTCTCTTGTGAAACCTGTCCATTTCATCCACATTTGACACGTGAAATGTACAGCAGAGTCACTGCTGTAAGCAGGGTCCCACACTCACAGGCAGAGATCCAGGGTGATGCACATGGCTTTCTTACCCGGGAATGAGTGTGTGTGAAAGCTGGGTAAAAGTGATGTGAATACAGGGGTGGAGAGAGCAGCAGCAGCAGGCTGTGACCCAGACAGCTCCTTCCAGCACCTCGCTCTCTCCCACCCAGAGGACAGGCTGCTTCGCAGCACTATGTAACCCAGGTATGTAACAGCATGAAACCTGTCCATTTCATCCACATTTGACTCGTGAAATGTACAGCAGAGTCACTGCTGTAAGCAGGGTCCCACACTCACAGGCAGAGATCCAGGGTGATGCACATGGCTTTCTTACCCGGGAATGAGTGTGTGTGTGTGTGAAAGCTGGGTAAAAGTGATGTGAATACAGGGGGGGAGAGAGCAGCAGCAGCAGGCTGTGACCCAGAGAGCTCCTTCCAGCAGCTGGCTCAATCCCACCCAGAGGACAGGCTGCTGCTTACAGAGTCACTGGTCCCACACTCACAGGCAGAGATCCAGGGTGATGCACATGGCTTTCTTACCCGGGAATGAGTGTGTGTGTGAAAGCTGGGTTAAAGTGATGTGAATACAGGGGGGGAGAGAGCCGCAGCAGCAGGCTGTGACCCAGAGAGCTCCTTCCAGCAGCTGGCTCAATCCCACCCAGGGGACAGGCTGCTGCTTACAGAGTCACTGGTCCCACACTCACAGGCAGAGATCCAGGGTGATGTACATGGGTCAGAAAAAGTCTAAGTTAACTTTTGGAAGAACCATATAAAAGGGTGAAAATGGATAAAAATGTACCCCAAAATAGTGACTCTTAAGGCGGATATAGTCCCCTGACAACTCCCGTTACATTCCTCCAGAGTCAGAAAAAGTCTAAGTTAACTTTTGGAAGAACCAGAAAAAAGGGGTGAAAATGGATAAATTGTACCCCAAAATAGTGTCTCTTAAGGCGGGTAAAAGGTATGTGAATATGGGGTGACGTATATGGACACTTGAGCACCAGCAAGACCCCCACCTCCATAACCTTGTGCACCAGGCGAACCTGTGTACCCACACTTAAGCACTCCCCCACGGACTAAACCAAGAGGGAACACCGGTCAGAAGTTCGTGCCCCTGGTAACACTGAATAACTAAAAAATATGGGGGAATGCCATTAAAACTGCTATGCATTGAGGATTTTAGTCCGAGATGAGTGCTTATCTGCGGGTATCTTGTGTCAGCTTCGTGGACCTCAATTTAGCAGGAGATGTCCATGATATTGACAAACATATTTATATACAGAATGATGATTATTTTACCCTCAGACACATGCATAGAGAACCCCCAAGTGTTGCATGTGTGTAGGCATAGTTGGTCAAATGTGTCTAGCCGGTGGCAGGGAATTTGCATTGGTAGTTGACATCACATTTCCATTGTGCGGACCTCAGTACATTTGAAGGACAAGTCCCATGTTAACTCTGTCCATAAGACAGACATTTTCCTTACAACCTGTTAGACTTGACATTAGGCATAACGGATACGGTTGGTCATAGAAATCATACATGATTCAACTCACCTCCAAAAAGCCCAGGCCAGCCTGTTTGGCAGTGTTGTGGATGACGTGACAGGGGCACCCATGGATGTAGATGCTGCCATGTTCTTTAAGAATTCTGGATGCGATGTAATTTCTTGCTCCTGTATTGACAGGTGCATTATCAACAGACAGACTCACACAGTTTCTCCATGGTATGGCGTTTTTTTGCAAGGCCTCGTCCATCTTCTGGTATATCACTTCAGCTGTGCCGCAGCTTGGCCCGCTGGTGGGGCACATATCCAGAAACCTGTGGACAACTTTACTGGTGGAACTGTCATATACCCGCACAGTGAGTGGGTTCATCTTCTCTCTTCCTGCAACGATATGGTACATATATGTCATATTAAGGTACACATCAGACTGAAATTGTTTGTGTGTTCTGTGGTTAATAATATATCTAAAATGGGTGCTGGAAAGTGTGGAAAGTGTAATGACCTGTATCATTTGATCCATCTGTGATTAATGTGAAAGGATTGGTCCTCATCTTCATGACCAGTTCGTTTCTAAAATGTGGGGCCACTGCTTCATTTATTATGCACGATGTTTTTGTGCGGGCGCACTTGTAGTTCTGTGCAATAGGGGAATCTTTGAAGCATTCTTTTAGCAATGGGCTGAAGTGATCTGCTACTGCAAACGGCACATTGTGTTCGACCATTGACACTGCCACCTTTACCTCAGCTCTCCTTGTCTGCAACAGAAAGGGGGTCATCAAAGAGCAAATCATGTAAAAACATTCCATAAAACATTAAGTGTTTTTGGATTGAATAAATGCATTTATTGCCGACTCAAGGTCCCTAGAAATACACAATTACATACAACAATAAACATAAATAAAAACAGTCCAAATTAACATGTTAGACAAGGCATTTGTGACAGTTTGTTTCATTTACTATTATTTATGCTGATATAACCTACAAGTGCAATTCAGCCACTGTTCATAATATATACCTTGGCCTCTTGTGCTGTCATGCCACCAACAGAGACTGGGGCATAATAAGGTGCAATCGTGGTTGTTGACTGTATTGCCTGTTCTTTGGCACGATGTCCTTTGCTTTTCATATGCCTGATGACATCTGCCTTTCCTTGATGGGCACAGCTGTTCTCATGTCTGCATATAGAGCACCAATAGTAGGAGGCGGTGGTGCCTATAGTGATGAATGGCCATTCTGCTGTCCACTCCCTTTTAAAAGTGCACCTGTAGGTGGCTGCTCCACTTTTAGCACTCTGCTTTTTCCCTGTTTCTACTCTCATCTCCACCGTTTCCTCTGCTGGCTCTTCTGTCTCATCCTCTGTGTCTTCTGGAGCCTTAATCTCTTCTACATCATCATCTTCTGTCTCCTCTGCAGTCTCATTCTCTGTGCCCTCTGGACACTCATTTCCCTCCGCTCTGTCATTCACTGAGAGTTCCAAAGCCTCCTCCACTGTTTCCTCTGACCTGGCAAGTTTGGCAGGGGGTGGTTGACCCTCCATTGCCCAGAATGACAGCAGATCTCTCTGCTGCTTCTTCTTCTTCTTATCTGACATCTTTCAGACTTTCAAACTAACAGACAAACATCAGACAGAAATCGAAGTACAGTTAAGGAATGAATGATCCAGTCTTAAAAGATAGCTACATGTTACTGTTTGATTGATTGAATATTTTATTAGACAGAAATGCAAACAACACAGGTACAGTACTGTAAATTCCCTTAGCTCATAGCAAGCATCCATTAGCTCACACACGCGTGATGATTTAAATGTTAACTAACACGGCTATAAGTCACGGTTGTTTGTTATTAAACCCACCGCAGCAACCTGCCACACTGCTCACCAGCTGCTTGTGTAACGCTCACGTAGTCAGACCCACCGTTGACTTAATACAAATAAAAATATTATGTGTTTGTAAAATTAAAATGAAGTGATTACCTACCGTTTGACCTCCCGCTTCAGATGAAAATGGGTTCTTCATAGGATAGAGACCAGACGCAATGACCCGCCCTAAGCTGCCTCTGATTGGTTTGTATACGTGGTGCCTTTCTCGGTCAGCCAATCGGGGCAGAATAGGGCGGGCTCACCCTATCCCTGACTCGAACTACGGCAAACCTCAAGCAACAAGTTATGGAAATATATCATTAAATAAAAAAATAATTATAAAGTAGTGAGAGGGGGGAAAAAGCGTGTGAAATGGCAAGTGTGGCGTGAGGCGTGTGAAGAGGTTAAATTGCGTGACTCTCACTCTCAAAGGGTGAGACTTGGCAGCTCTGTATCTATATGGTGCTGATCTTAGCTATCTCTTATGCGGCTTTCACACCAGCGCTTTTCCCTTTCTAGCTCCGAGCTAGAGCTTTTCTGGTTCAGCTCCGGTTTCCCTTTTCTGCTCCCGCTCTGTTCACACCACCCAGCACCCGACTGGTGCTGCCGCTGCTGCGTCATGACGTCACCGTTTACATCGCTGATTTGCTCCCCAACGGCATTACGGCGCTCACAACAACAACAACTGCGTCGGGTCGATGATCGTGTTGCTTTTAATCACACAAAGCCAGAATAAATTGAATAACGACTTCTCCAACCTTATACTTTGCTCCAGAGTGCCGTGGTTCATTGTTTATTAATGTGTTTCTGCAGTATTTACCGACCGCTGCAGTGTTGGCTGCTCTTCCACGGGAGTTTATTCTCCTCCGTTAGCTCCCGGTTAGCTCACACAGCGGCCGCTTTAAAGTATTCACTGTCCGACTCACACAAGCAGCTGATACATATCCCCAGTTACCCTTAGCCTAAGTGAATGTGTGTCAGTCTGAATTGACGCTGTTTGGTATCACAACGCTGTTATGGGGTTTGGGGTGGTGTACAAAATGTACACCACCCCAAATTGATCATGTTGTTGATAGTGCTACAGATGCGCTGCGAATAAAATTAGACTCTGTTGCTCCTTTGAAAAATAAGAAAATAAAACAACATAGATTAGCTCCATGACATAATGCCGAAACCCGCAAAATAAAGCAAAAGTCGAGACAACTTGAAAGGATATGGCGTTCCACTAAACTTGAAGAATCTCGTTTAATTTGGCATATTACTCTCAATGAATATAAGAAAGCACTGCGTAAAGCGAGAGCAGCCTACTACTCTTCATTAATAGATGAGAATAAGAATAATGCAAGATTTCTTTTCAGCACTGTAGCCAGGCTGACAGAAAGCCACAGCTCGATTGAGCCTTCTATTCCCATAGCACTCAGTAGTAATGATTGTATGTGCTTTTTTAACGATAAATTGTTACTCTAGAAACAAAATTAATGACCTCTTGCCTTTGACCAGTATAGTGTTATCAACAGCTCCCGGAAACGTAAGTTCTAATATTACACTAGATAGTAAACTAGAATGCTTTTCAGCCATAAACCTTGAACAATTAAATTCAATGATTCTCTCTTCTAAACCATCAACGTGCATGTTAGACCCAATTCCAATTAAGCTGTTGAAGGAAGTTTTTCCATTAATTAGCACTTATTTATTAAATATTATGAATATGTCTTTATTATCAGGCTATGTTCCACAATCATTCAAAGTAGCAGTGATAAAACCGCTTCTTAAAAAGCACAACCTCGATCCAGAGGTTTTAGCCAATTATAGACCTATTTCCAATCTTCCGTTCCTCTCAAAAATTCTTGAGAAAGCGGTCGCAAAACAGTTGTGTGATTACTTAAAAAACAATGATTTATTTGAAGCTTTTCAGTCTGGCTTTAGAACACATCATAGCACAGAGACAGCTCTGGTTAAAGTCACAAATGACATTCTAATAGCCTCTGACAAGGGACGTGTCTCTATTCTTGTTTTGCTCGATCTCAGTGCTGCATTTGATACTATCGACCATGATATCTTATTGCAAAGACTAGAGCACTTAGTTGGCATACAGGGAACTGCTTTAGACTGGTTTAGGTCCTATCTATCTGAACGCTCTCAGTTTGTACGTGTCAATGATGAATCTTCCACGCAAACCAAAGTTAGCCATGGAGTGCCACAGGGCTCAGTGCTCGGACCTATTTTGTTCACATTATATATGCTTCCGTTAGGCAATATTATAAGGAATCATTCTGTAAACTTTCATTGTTATGCGGATGATACTCAACTATATTTATCAATCAAGCCTGATGAAATTAATCATCTAAATAAAATTCAAGACTGCCTTAAGGACTTAAAAACGTGGATGACCTTAAACTTTTTGATGTTAAACACGACCAAAACTGAAGTTATTGTACTTGGCCCGAAGAATCTACGAAACAAATTATCTAAGGATATACTAACTATGGATGGCATTAATTTGGCCTCCAGTGAGACTGTAAGGAATCTTGGTGTTATATTTGATCAGGATTTATCCTTTAACGCCCACATAAAATCAATTTCAAGGACCGCCTACTTCCATCTACGTAACATTGCAAAAATCAGGCATATCTTGCCTCAAAACGATGCAGAGAAACTGGTCCATGCATTTGTTACTTCAAGGCTGGATTATTGTAACTCTTTATTATCAGGGTGTACCAAGAAGTCAGTCAAGTCGCTTCAGCTGATTCAAAATGATGCGGCTCGTGTACTAACCAGAGTTAGGAAAAGGGACCACATTACTCCTGTTCTGGCTGCCTTACACTGGCTCCCTATAGAACACAGGATAGAATTTAAAATTCTTCTTCTCGCCTACAAAGCCCTTAATGGGCAGGCGCCATCTTACCTTAAAGAACTCATTATACCCTACTGTCCTACTAGGGCATTGCGTTCCAAGAATGCAGGGTTGTTGGTTGTTCCTAGAGTCTCTAAAAGTACAATGGGAGCCAGAGCCTTTTCTTATCAAGCTCCACATTTGTGGAATCAGCTTCCAGTTTGTGTTCGGGCGGCAGACACCCTATCCGTTTTTAAGAGTGCGCTTAAGACCTTCCTTTTTGATAAAGCTTATAGTTAGGGCTGATTAGATTCAGCCCCTAGTTTTGCTGATATAGGCTTAGTTTGTCGGGGGACATCTTACTTCTTCCTTCTCTCTGTCTATACCTGTGTACTCTCATGTTCCGATTAACCCAGCTTCCCCAAATGTCTTTCTTTTTGGTGTCTATATACGCCGGGATCCGGAGTCATGGATGATCCTGCGCTCCTCTGTCCTGGATCGCGAGCCCTGGATCTTGAGTCGTGGCTGTGGTCCTGGATCATAGGTCCTGGATGGATATCCTCGTGGATTCATCTTCCTATTATACACACATGCATTTCCAAACATTTGGACTACCTATGTTGCAAATGTATTATCTTTTCAATTTACACACGGCATCTATTGCACGTCTGTCCGTCCTGGGAGAGGGATCCCTCCTCTGTTGCTCTCCCTGAGGTTTCTCCCATTTTTCCCTTTAAACTGTGGGTTTTCTTCGGAAGTTTTTCCTTGTACGATGTGAGGGTCTAAGGACAGAGGGTGTCGTATTGTCATACTGATATTTTGTACAAACTGTAAAGTCCACTGAGACAAATGTAACATTTGTGATATTGGGCTATATAAATAAACATTGATTGATTGATTGTTATGAAAGTTTCTCTGGTATAAAATGAGTGATGTTAGCATAGCAACCGAAGCTAAACTAACTACTTGCTATACTTGTGGCATAAACCGTTTTCTACAGGCACATTTTACCGGCGTATTTTTATTATGATTCTACTTGTGATAGTCGGACACGACAACCTGTGCAGCCCATGTATTGATTCCATCCGATAGCTGCTATAATACAAAACAAAACGTCTGCCTCTCTCCACAATGATCATAACAGTGAACGGATGGTCAAAGTAAGGTACAAATAAACAGAATCACATGAAGCCTGGTTAGTGTTGCCTGACTTTATAAAGTGTGTTTATAAGCACTACTGCTTGTAGGCAGGCATGACAGTCGACCCATGTTCAGGGGAGGTGGGTTTAGTTTCCTGCACGCCTCGACGTAAGCGACGCCACCTCTTAGCTCCGAAGCTCTTGCCTCTAGACCGACAATTTTTTGGAGCTGGAAGTGACCCGGATTCCGGAGCTAAGAGCCGGCGCCGCTGCGGTGTGAACAGGAAAACCCGGCGCTTTTCAGGCTCCAGCTCCGAGCCGGAGCTGAAAAAGCGCTGGTGTGAAAGGGGCATTAGTGGAGGAAAACAATTGTGACATCACATACGCGACTCTGGGATTTGTAGTCTTTCTAGTTGCGTATTTTTCAGTCTTATATTTCAACAGTTTTACGACAAACTGTGACTTTTTTTACATGGAAATTATTTTTTAAGTTTGACAAACATCATATGTGTAAGTCATGGCACAATTCAAACGGGATCGAAAGATACGTTTTCTCTCTCCATTGACTTCAATACATTATTTTTCCGAAATAAGGTCCCATGGAGTAGATGGGCATGACTTCGCCACTCTATAACACAGTGAATTATGTCCCGTAATGTTCCACCACAAAAGCAAGCAACTGCCGGACTTACGCTCTACAAATACTCACAATAAAAACACGCTAAACACAAGTCAATCAATATAAACTCACCTTATGATTTTCATGGCTTTATCCTAGCCAGGGGCGTCGCCTGGACCTGGAAACATTCGGGGCTTAGCCCACAGTCAAATGTTCTACTGCAAGACTCCCCACACGCACATACACAATTGCGCCATCTGGTGTCACAAACGTGTGCCTGCATTAGCTTTGTTACGGCAATGGATTGTGGGAGATTCTCATAGCACGTGAGGATCTCTTGAGGGTAAGGTGCCTGTATTATCTCGGTGGACGAAATGTATGTTTTTATTTTATAAGGACAATAACGTACTGTTGTGTTTGTTTAGTTTAATGTTAATTGTTTAATGCTCACAGTCACAGCAACATGTTTTTTGTGTGATTGGCTATTTGTTTTATATGATTTATCAACGTGATCATCAATAGCTAATCTGAGCACCAGAACCCAGCTCACGTGTCCTTTTATGCTGTCCATTGAAATGCAGGTATGTGAGTTTTGTACACCAGTGTATTTATGTTTAATGTTTCACATTGCTCCACATGATGCCTTGACTACAAAATCTTCCATGTTTCTACGCTTCTTCCTCTGTGTCAGTTTCGGGAATATCAAGATCATTGCACAGGGCCTTGGTCTTGTCATAGACCTCATGTGCTTTCTCGTTACTTCGGTAACTTTTCAGTGTGTTCTCAACTGCTGTTTTGTAATCTACTGCCTGCACCAAGTCAATTGTTTCTTTCTGCAGGTATTTGTGCAGGCCCTGAGTGGTTGAGAGCAGTGTCTGGAACATGACAGCATGTAGATGGTACTGCATTTTCAAAGCTTGCTTTCCAGTCCCTTTACTAGAGGGGCTGAAAGGCTCCCTAAAGTCTTGATCAAAGTAGGGAGGTTTTTGACATGCCCAGCGAACAAGTTGTTTGTCCCCTACCTCTAGCTGTTTCTGAAATGTTTGCAATCTCTGATGGTGGACAAGAGATGTGGAGAAGAAAGAGTAGAGACACTCCAGGAGATCAACGCAGGTATGTGAGTTTTGTACACCAGTTTGTATAAGTTTAATGTTTCACATTGCTTGTGAAAAATATACTACCACTATATGATCACTGATGTTTTGTTGTTGACTGGACACTTATTTTGTAAAAGAGATAGCATGAGAGGATCTCTTAAGCAATGCAGCTTACGTGTCCTTTTTATATGCTGTCCATTGAAATGCAGGAAAGTAATCACCAGCTCTGAGTGATCTGTTGCCGAGGGGACACTACACCGGAGTTAAATAAGCAGAGATAAAGTGCTATTTTGGGGGGAACTCACCTCCTCTGGGGTCCCCCAGGAAGATTTAAAAAAAATATTGAAGTTAAAAGCATCAATCTTGTGCACTTTGAGAGCAACATTAAGAGATATGATACATCTCTCAACACCCATATGTCAAAAATAAATCAAAGAATCAGAAACGGGTTTATTATTTAAAAACACTTCATTTTCCAATTAAATCATAAACTATGTCAAATTATTAGAAGTTGTTAGTAATCAGATTAAACAGAAAAAAGGGATGGAAGTAGGAAATAATAATCCCTCATCTCTTGCTGTTTGCGGTTGAAATGATCTCTTCTGCTGGCCAAACATGCTGGATGGAAAGCAGTGATGTCTCACTTGCCTTGGCCCTGTATCTGCAGTCCCTAAATCAATCATGTTACCCATTGACTCTTGTCTGTTCTGGTGTTCCTGTTCATTGTTGTCTCCATTGTCGTTCTTGTCTGTTGTATCTCCTTCTTGTGTGTCCCTTTCTCCTGTTCCCCTTTCTTCATCCTCTACTCTGTTTGGCTCATCTGTGATGACTGTGTAGGTAAACATAAACAAGTATGTAAGTCAATCAGTTTCCAGCTCTGTCAAATAAATGAATTTCAAGATACACACATTTGTCTTCATTAAAATGAGTGTCACCACACTGTCACAAAATGTAATACTAACCAATTGAAAATAGTTAAATTTACATTGGAAACCTCTTGTAGATATCACTGTTAAGAGTAGGTGTCTGCCAATAGGACAGAATCATTCCTATACAAATGCAGTTTGAGTAATTCACTTAATATATTTACTTAAAACTTTAATATAGTCATTTTCACTTAATACTCTAATATAGTCATCTGTCTGCATTCAACACTAAGGAAAGCTGTACAATTTGACATGATAATGAGGAAAAAAGGCCTCCGACAATGCAGATCATTTTTTGATCATATCAATTTTAAGATGCGGGTCAAGGCTTAATATTTGGGAGCATAGTGTCCCTTGCTCCCTTTCAGGAGCCCCACTGGATTGGCTTTGATCTGAAATATTTGTATAAAAAGCTTGTTAGCTGGCTGTCCATCTCATAATGTACACATAGAAACTAGCTGTCAATAGGAAATATAAATCAGAAGAATTATATTTTCATGCAAAATCTGTCACAAAAAGAGGTTGCACATTTAAATGCAGGTGTTGTTATGGCAACGTCAGTGGCCAGACAGCCACATTTACTGCTGCAAATACGTTCAAACATGCTGTCGACACATAAAGCAGTGGCAACTATGCCACCATTTCAGCTGACTTTTTCTCAGAAATACTGTCACATAACATCCATATATATTTCAGTGCTAGGTTGATGCTTAGCTAAGCTAACTATGAAACACTTTAACTGACAGGACTCAGGAATCAGGATCAACTGTGTACTACTGTAAGGTAGCTTCTAGCTTCATGTCGAACACAGACAGTAAGTCAACATTTCCCAGAGAGCTTTCTTTGAAATCACAAAGTAACGCTAAAAAAACACAACATTTAGATTGTATGACAAAGTGTTTATTTAATATATCTGGCTAGCTATAGCTACTTGCTAACGGTTTAGCTTACCCGCGCGATTCAAAGTAACGTCAACGTAGCTATAATTTATGCTTTGCTTACATGTTCGCATAACTTGTAAGTTTACTGACAGGTACATACCTTGTTCACCTGGCTCAGGTGGTGGCTCTGGGGTTGTTGTGTGAGCCACCACTTGAGAATTGCCGTCTTTTTTATTAAAGAAATGTCTAATGTCCATCTTCAGAATCTCCGCGTCCGGGGCTGACAGTTTAAAGTTTAAACATTGTCACAGAGGAGAGGTACGTACCTGTCAGCCAATAAAACACGTTTATTTCCATATAACTCCCTGATTGGTCTGGTGGCGTCGTCTTGCCTCTGTGTTGCATTCACTGAACATGGGAAATTACATTTCTGCCGTCCGTCCTATAGGTAAAGTAGGTTAATGTATTATATTATTGAGGGAGAATTTGTCCGGGGCTAAAGAAAAAACATCCGGGGCTAAAGCCCCGGATGCCTACTCCAGGCGACGCCCCTGATCCTAGCTAACACCAGTGAGTGAATGACAATGTTTACAAATTGACAGCTGTTGCTCGTTGTAACAGCAAATGTGAACTCAGCTTTTTGCAAACGATAACCTGTAACTATGACGAACATTTGATGACATTAAATCACTTTTAATAACTTTGACCTTGTAGAGATCTCCTCGGAACAGAACCAGCTTACTCCTCCGATGCGGGAAGAAAATATGGTGGACCCCTCCCCCCCTCTTTGTTTAAAAAAGAAAAGCTTCAACATTTTCAAATAAAGATTTTTTGCAATTTTTTTCTGCTTTTCATCTTGTTCTTTAAAGTGCCATATTGTTGAAGTTAAATTACGAAACTATTAAAAGTAGGGTTTTGAGTCCGAACATTTTGATTTGTGAATAAAATATTTGTCAATATTAAGAAGCTGAGTAATCGGCTGCAGAGCAAGCTGCTGATGTATGTGCTCAGTGATCGGAGTTACAGAGATAAACATAACTTTTTTCTTATTTCTTAACATGATTGAGACTTATAGAACGTACACCCCTCAAGATTAAAATAGTTCTACATGATTGATTGATGTTTCGATGAGAAACATGAATACATTCTGTCTCATATATTAACTGCATATTTTCAAATTGAACAACCCCACTTTCCCCTTTTTTTCAGTGTAGACAGGTATTTTCTGTGTTAGAGTTTTACTCGCTACAGGGTGTACTGCGAGAGTTTGTGACTTTGCAGACCGTTTACATGCATAAAAAGCTACATAACACACAAGGGGACGGGTAATAACCGGAAAAGCATATGATGAGACCTTTAAAAGAGAGAATGTTTTGTGTGCTAAAGTGGACAATAGATGAACAAAATGTTCATATAATTGAATTAAATCGTAATAATTAAATGAATAAATAATGGCTCTTTTTTTGTTTGTTCATTTTAGTTCATTTTCAATGTCTGACATCAATGTTGATTGCAATCTTTAGCGTGACCATATCTCAATGTAGATTCAATGACTTTTTGCTATCTGGGGTGGTATCACAGGATCCCTCTAATCACCCTGCTCTACAAGTTACACTGCAACATATGCAAATGCAATGCTTTCTACTAACACAATGTATTTTTCTCTGTACATCTTTATAATTGTATGCCAAATACTCTTATACAGATAAATACACATTTTAGACTTCACATTTTATTGTATGTTTTTTTATCAGGTTTATGATCAATTCAGAAGATAAGTTATCTATAGCACTTAATTTTTCTCACAATAATAATAAAAGCTATTATGCAAGTCAAAGACAGTAAATGCATAACTTCATCGACTAAACCCTTTTAAAGAAATGCATTCTTTGAAAATGTATTACCCATAACCACCAGGAGGTGGATCTCTTCCATAGGGGACACTCCTATAGAGGGGAGGACACATACTCCATTCACACATGGTTGCCTCCCCCTCTTGCATGAAAAGTGTGCCTGTGCATGAGGCAGTCGGGAACATTCAGCAGCAGTAGTAGTGCCTTCCCTGCCTGGCTGCATTCTTACAACAGATCTGGGGCAAGAAGACATCGGGTCATGCATTGAATCAGAGACTGGTGGAGAAAATGGTGCAGTTTCTGTCTTTGCTAATATAGAGCAGTGGAACTTGGGTTTGTTAACAAAATAGATTATTTTTAAACAATTTCAACTATTTTTGACAAACATGGGGTGCTCCTCATCCAGTGCACAGACTGTTGATCAGGAGAAAAGACCAGGTACAAAGCCAGAGGAGGCCAATGGAGATACAGTGGGTAAGTTTGAACAATCTATGTTTAAATGTCTAAACGTGTCTAGCTTAGTGTATGTTTAATGAATAAGCATACCATATGATTTATACACTTACTCTACATGTACATATAAGTAAGTTACTTTTATTCAAGGCTTGCTGAGGGGTGTGTGACTCTGCTCTGGAACACCGTGTGCTTTCTCACTCTCTTCTGCTTCGAAGCATTCTACAGCAGCCCATGTAGAGAATTATTCATGTTTACCCATTTTCTCATTGCTCCCGAGAAGTGGTCAGCATTTATTTTTAATAAGCCATTTCTAGCTTGGTATCCATTCAAAATATTCTGCCAGAAACTGAATGTTTTGGCTTGTTATCAAATGAGAGCTATATTGTGTGTTTGTGTTTAATTCTCCGCTCCTCTCCTTACCAAAGCCAATTGGGTATTTACATGTACATGAAGCTAGCTTTGTCAAATGTAGTGAGGACTTCATAAAACTCTGACAGTAGCACCGTGTGAAAGCCAGCTGGGATTGTTCAGCAGTGCATCTGCAGCCTGAGGAAAGAGTTGTGACCAAACCGTTTTTCTGCCAATCTACAGTAGTCTGATTTGTGAATTAAATTATGTTTAGTGTGCATGCTTTTTGTGCTTCCAAAGTCTGAATACAAAGTTTTCCTCAAAAGTGAGTTGCTTAGATTGCCATCTGTTTAAGCATGATATGGAGTGTTTGACACTGCTCCAGGAATTTAGCGCTCGCACAAAACAATGTATGCTGGATATCAAAGGAGAGGGGCTAGGAGATTTATGGCTTTTCCAAAAAGCCCAAATGCTTTTCAGGCTATCCTGGAATTTCTGAATATACATGTTACATCTGAACTTGCAGTCATGCTCTGTAGTTCTTGTTTTGTTTGTCGTTTGGATTCTTATGTGCAAGCCCTGTGTACACTGACCGTGATTGTTTATTCATGCGTGTCATCAGTGTATGATGGTTGTTCCATTGTCTCTTCAGCCTGCCAGCTATAGTAACCTGGAAAAGCTTTCCAGACTCTTACATCATTCCCACAAGAAAACCACTTATTGTATTTCTCAGGAAGGCTTCTACAAATGAATGGGTGGAGTTTTAAATCATACAGTCACTGTATGATCCACCACTGGTCGCATCCCCTGACCGGACCCCCTATACTTTACATCCCATCCCTCCCTCTACTCTGTGTTATAAGCCAACCATGGCACTTATTTTGACTGGGATCATCTTTGGCTGCTAAATTATGTTGAAATTCTGGTCATCCATGCTTGGAGAGGCTGTCTATGTCTCCACCAAAACTGTTTTTAACACCAGTTCAAGCTGCACAACAGTGTGGAATACTCTGTTAGATCGTATGTGAGCCGTAAACTGGACACTAATGGAAACATGTTTAAATTCAATTAAGGGGAGTCATACCATAATAACAATTAAACATTTTTAAAAACACTTTTCGTCAAGAATGTAAGTCTGCAGTTCTGAACTCTTAGTTGAAACTTGATATTATTAGAAATATTTCATTTGCATGGCCTACCCACTTTTTTTCTCTGTTGCGTTTCTTCCAATGATTTATTTTCATTTGAGTTGCCAGCCTGTCACATTCCTTTCCACCCATCACTCTCAGCTCTTTTTAGCACTTCTGACAGACAAATACATTCCGGAAGCTGTGGCTTCTGAACCATCCACCCATTCAGCTTTCTGAACCATTCTGCTCTGTCTTAGCTGGTGTTTTTGTAAATAAATTAGCTGCAAAACTTATCTAGAGAGAAACTGTCCTAGGCTGCCATTGATACTAAATTCATGTTTTTCCACCTGAGGGCTTGTTACTTGTTCAAATATCTATAACAGCAGCATTAAGAAGGAGAATGAAGGAAGGGTCTCTCTCAAAATGCAGCAAATGCATTGTCATGTGTATTTCATTTCCTCAGAGAGTGACTTGCATGTCCTCCGAGCTTTAGACAAAGACTGGCTTCAATAAATCACATTTTTAACCAGGGAAATTAAATAATGTTTTCTACCTTGTTGCCTTTATTTTCCATCTCCTGCATTCCATGAGTTAAGCTGTTGTTTGGATTTGTATTATTCATATTATTTATTAGATTGACTTCAGACATTTGTCTTTGGCCTCTTACAAGAACAGCAAAATGATATGCAAAAACATGCTGATAGGCAGATTAAGACAATAAAATACAGGAATAATTTAACACCCTGCAATATAGAAGTATATTCTTCGTTGAATGTCACCTTAGGATGCATTTGAATTTGGCCATTAGAAATGTTGTTATTGAAGCCTACTGTAGATTAGCTCGCCAACCCCCAAATAATGTTCAATTTAATGAAATTAGGAATGTTTTCTTCATTATTTTTGTTGTCAGGTAGTTACTGTTACAGATTAACAGGGCATCACAAAGGGGAGATGTAGATTGATAATATGCTTGCAAGTCGTACATCTAAAAATGTTGTGTTGTCCACCCTGTTTTTACAGCAGTCAGAAATGGCTTCATTGCAGAAGATGTACAAACCATCGAGGACCAGATACAGTTGCCTGTGCAGACTGCCTTACCGGACAATTTCCAACCAGGAGCCGATGATGAAGCTGATGTTGTGTTGGTAGCCCTGGAGGCCCAGGAGGATCTTGGGTCTGGGGAGGACCTCCTGTCTGCTCCTGAGCCACAACTAGAACCTGTTAGCCCTTCAGAGCCAGTTCCAGAAACTGCTGCTCCAACTGAAGCCTACACTGAACCTGAGGCTGCACTACCCCATTTAGAGAAAGCCGTCCCTGTAGAAACTTTGCTGTCTGAGGCAACTCCTGTGGTCGAAGCCCTGGTTGAGGAGGCCACTGCTGATCTAGCTGTGCAGGCAGAGGCCCCTGCTGATGTAGATGTGCAGGCAGAGGACGCTGCTGATGTAGCTGTGCAGGCAGAGGACGCTGCTGATGTAGCTGTGCAGGCAGAGGACCCTGCTGTTGTAGCTGTGCAGACAGAGGCCCCTGTTGTTGTAGAAGAGGAAGCAGCTCTAGCTGTTGAGGCCCCTGCTGTAGTGGCTGCTCATGTGGAGGGAGAGGCTCCAACTGACAATTCTGCATCCGCTGCTACCTCAACAGAAAAATGTGTATACCCAGAACCCTTTGAATCTGCTACCCCAGCACCAACTGAAGCCCCAGCACCAGCTGTAGCTGCAGCTGCAGTCCCAGCACCAGCCCCAACACCAAATGAAGCCCCAGAACCAGCTGCACCAACAACTGAAGCCCCAGAACCAGCTGCAGGACCATCTGAAGCCCCAGCACCAGCTGTAGCTGCAGTCCCAGCACCAGCACCAACTGAAGCCCCAGAACCAGCTGCACCAACAACTGAAGCCCCAGAACCAGCTGCACCAACAACTGAAGCCCCAGCACCAGCTGTAGCTACAGTCCCAGCACCAGCACCAACTGAAGCCCCAGAACCAGCTGCACCAACAACTGAAGCCCCAGAACCAGCTGTAGCTGCAGTCCCAGCACCAGCACCAACTGAAGCCCCAGAACCAGCTGCACCAACAACTGAAGCCCCAGAACCAGCTGTAGCTGCAGTCCCAGCACCAGCACCAACTGAAGCCCCAGAACCAGCTGCACCAACAACTGAAGCCCCAGAACCAGCTGCACCAACAACTGAAGCCCCAGAACCAGCTGTAGCTGCAGTCCCAGCACCAGCCCCAGCACCAACTGAAGCCCCAGAACCAGCTGTAGCTGCAGTCCCAGCACCAGCCCCAGCACCAACTGAAACCCCAGCACCAGCTGCAGCACCATCTGAAGCCCCAGCACCAGCTGTAGCTGCAGTCCCAGCACCAGCCCCAGCACCAACTAAAGCCCCAGAACCGGCTGCACCAACAAATGAAGCCCCAGCACCAGCTGCAGCACCATCTGAAGCCCCAGCACCAGCTGTAGCTGCAGTCCCAGCACCAGCCCCAGCACCAACTAAAGCCCCAGAACCGGCTGCACCAACAAATGAAGCCCCAGCACCAGCTGCAGCACCATCTGAAGCCCCAGCTCCAGCTGTAGCTGCAATCCCAGCACCAGCCCCAGTATACACTGAAGCTGCAGCACCTGAAGCAACAGCCGCAGCACCAACTGAAACCGCAACACCAACCGAAGCAACAGCCACAGCATCAACTGAAGCCCCAGAACCAGCTGCACCAACAAATGAAGCCCCAGCACCAGCTGCAGCACCATCTGAAGCCCCAGCTCCAGCTGTAGCTGCAATCCCAGCACCAGCCCCAGCATACACTGAAGCTGCAGCACCTGAAGCAACAGCCGCAGCACCAACTGAAGCCGCAACACCAACCGAAGCAACAGCCACATTATCAACTGAAGCCCCAGAACCGGCTGCACCAACAAATGAAGCCCCAGCACCAGCTGCAGCACCATCTGAAGCCCCAGCTCCAGCTGTAGCTGCAATCCCAGCACCAGCCCCAGCATACACTGAAGCTGCAGCACCTGAAGCAACAGCCGCAGCACCAACTGAAGCCGCAACACCAACCGAAGCAACAGCCACAGCATCAACTGAAGTCGCAGCACCAACTGAAGCCACAGCACCAACTGAAGCTAAAGCCCTATCACCAGCAGTAGTAACAGACAAGGCTTCAGAACCAAGTGAAGTATCAGCATCGGACGAGGCAGTACACACTCTTATAGATATAAAGATTGCTGCAGCAACTATTCCACTGTTGCCTCCATTATCACCAGTCACTGCAGCTGCTCAAACAAAGGCAGATCCCTCACCTAAAGGTATGAAACTCTAAGACCGATCATTGTAAGTAAGTTTACCCTGTTTTCTTTAATAGTCTATCATAAAAATCTAAAATCCTTCATCATTCTTTTTAGTAATCTGTTGCAACAACAGAGACTTAACAAAGCAGATTCAGTTTTCTATATGTGACAATAGTGGGAGATATATGCTTTTTTTAACACCGTTCTGTATTTCTTGAGGGAGTTTACTACTCAGTGATTTTACATGATTAAAAATCCTGACAAACCTGTAATGCAGAAACAAAAGAAACTATTCAAAGCATATTCCGATTCAGTTTTCTATATGTGACATTAGCGTAAAACCATGTTTTAAACTACTTGATAGTCACCGTCCACTTACTGATCGGATGGCTGCGTTTTTGGGTGGAGGTCAAACAGTAGAGCATTGCTACTAGCTAAAATAGCTGGTAAATCTATGCAAACATGCTTGCCAATTAGATGTGTAAACAAGCAGTAAGGGGATAGAAAATTAAGAAATATTTCAGTGTTTTAACTATTATTTTTTACATCCAAGACCCTTCACCAGCCATGCAAGCCAATCTATCTTCTTGTTACACATAAAGACAAAGTTTAACAAATTCACCCCTTGAAGGGGCTGCCATTATAACTAAGCGGGTATCAAAAACACACATGGCAAGAACAAACTCAGTTTACCATAGAATTATCATTGTAATAAACAATACTTTACATTGGTCCCTGCCTGTCCTGTGATTGGTCTGAGCTGACAGGATGAACAGGATATTGTTGGGCCGTGGTGATGAACAGATAACACAGTGTGAACAAATAAACACACTCTGGGAGTGAGAAATTAACGCTTTTCTTGAGTGTGTCCATTTTTTCAGTCACGCAACTCTCACTCATTGTACTCTATTGTGAACTGTCTTCTATCATACCGTATTGCTTCAAATTAAACAATATTTGACTTAATTTGACTTAAACCCAAAGTAATTTAGCACTAAGTAAATGCACAGGACATCTGGTGGTAATTTATAAAGGAATACTTTACCCACAAAATGACAATTTATTTATAAATGTCTCACTCCCCATGTAACCTTGAATTATTGAATACAACTTTTCTCTTATGTGTTCTCAAAAGCCTCCAGGCTGAAAAAATTGGGTGGTGTATGGGAGAGAAACTCCCTCTGGAGGGATATTTAACAATATATTATAGGTATCAGATATATATATACACAAAACGTCTCTGAAGAGTTTGTCTCCTAATACCAAACAGATAATTGTAGCATCCCATAAACCCAGTTTCAAAAGTGCTGATTCTGTGTCTGTAGCTTTAAATGCAAATGAGCTGCTGCTGGCCACGCCCCCCTGCAAGATGCTTGGTTTAAAAAAACATAATGGTGCTCTAGGATGAGATTCAGGTGATAAGGTGGGTTACCTTGGTTGGTTTGTGGCTAATCGTTGCCCAACCAAAAAAAACAGTTGTGACATCGGGACTTCGGTTGGCAGTATACACCGTGAAGTTGTTTGCGGCCTGCCAGTAAACCCAAAGCAGAAGAAGAAGAAGTGACGTCAGCGGCTCCCTCAGGGACTTATTCTGGTGTGAACGCGATCTACTAGATTGTTCCGGAACTAAAGATTTCCGGGGAACTAAGTTCTGGGAACTATTCCTGGGAAAAGTACTTGGTGTGAAAGCGCCTATTTACATGCACAAAAACCTAAAAAAGCCTAATAGGGTCAAAAGGGGCCCCTCCCCCAGTCAAATGAATCAAAAACAATTCTGTTTTTTTATTCTGTTGTTTTGTGCAGTCTGAAAGCAATATAAACAAAGTTTACAGACGATAAACTTTGTTTTTGGCGCTTGCCAAACTGTACATCAGATGCTATGGTGATATGGTGGTGAGGTTTTCCTTTAAGAAGCAGAGCTAGTGGTTTCATTTCCTCCTGCACTCCACCCTTGACTGTCAGAGAACATGCTGTACTTTTAGGGCAGGGATGCCTCTACAGGCAGAATGTGTAGAAAACTGGTCTGGTGAAGACAAATTGCATAACATCTACAAAACCTTTTCTCTGGAATCTATGCAGTATGCATACCAGACCATTCACCATACAGTATTGTGAGTGTAAGCTTAGAAACCAGGTGAATAACTAGTAACCAGTTCAGCAGACCTGGATGTGACAAAGAAGGGATGCTCTCCTGTGGTGCATTGTTACAGTTGTCTCTTTAGTTTTGGTGAAGGTGAAGCCATATGTTAAACGAGTGAAACTTTCCTCTGTATGAAGTCTGCAATGTCGATTGTATTGTATCATGTATTGATTTCCTCTCAATGTGTGCGCAGTGACTTCTGCAACTGAAGCCTCTCAGGATATAGAGAGCGTGAAAGCCAAAAAGGAGGATTGAGTTGGTAAGAGCACAACCACAAACCAAACTCAATACAAACACAGTAGGATCAACTCTGTATCCATTATACTGAGTATCATTTTATATATGTTCAGTGAAGGGTGCACATAACCAACCTTTAAACCGGGTGAAAACGGGATAAATGCAGTAGAGAAGGGGTTTTTGATATTGATAGTTAAAAATTGGTGATGTGATGTTTGCTTTATCTGACAAAGGTAATGTAATTAAAACACTGAATAGTGGGGAAGTGTACATCACTTGTATAAGGAATGTCTCATTATTTTCTTCATCTTTTGTTTTTAGAGATAAGAGATGCACCAAAAAACATAAACCCAAAGCTACCATTGGAAGAAAACTGGAAGGAGAACAAGACAAAGCAGTAAATGCTACATTTTCAGTATTGTCATCAGCGCTTGCCAAACTGTACATCAGATGCTATGGTGTATGGTGCCCTAATAACATGTCATTAGGAAATATCAGGATATTTCCTTAATGTGTATATATAAACTTTTTTAAAGGTATTTTACTGACACCTTCTGTGCCCTTAAGCCACGTACTTGATATGCAGGTCAAACAAGCCATTACAGGACAGGCGAGATGAGACTAGAGGGTGCAATATTCTGTGAAATCTGTGAAATCTGTGAACTCTTGTGTGCAACACACTCTCACTCCATAATCGTCCAGGAGCGACGTTTGGTCAGGGTCCCGTGGCGTGCAATTGTGACGCTCCTAGGCTCCTTCAGCTTCATAAAGGGACACAAATAGCTTTCAACTGATTGCAATGTATTCCCATCTGCGGCGGGATTTGACGCTCATGGAAACACGGCATTCGTTTGTGTCGGCTGCCCTTAAAGGCAATGTGAGCGTCCATTCCCATTGGATAACGGAGAATTGTACACCCGGAAGTAAGTATTCCCCTTACTGTCGATTGATTTTACAGTGATATCTGCACTACTCATCGACTAAAAAACACCAGATTATCCTTGTTAATTACACAACATTGATTGGTTTAAATTGTGTGCAATGCTTTTGTATTTTTTCCCTTCGATTTGGAGAAACAAATATCTTTTTAAGACACTACAATACCCAGAATCCCCAGCTATCGTTTAGGACTACACCATGTGCTCTGTTTGACAAACCCCGTGATTAGTTCTCAAGCTCTGTGATTGGTTGACCTCCAACTGCATTCCATATGAAAAAAAACATTTCGTAAAAGATAAAATCATACTTTATTCAGCAGTGCTTGCTTTACTCTTTGAAAGTTATCATATGCATGCATTGTAATAAATGGTTCGGCTGCATTAAATATAAATATCATAGTTCTTTATTTATATTTCTCTACAGAGATCGGGCTCAGAATAGACCGGAAACTATTCTTTTACTGTTCAGTTTGAATTTCACAATAAAGTTAGTAGTAATATTTTGTTTTGATATTATTGTTTTTTATTAACTACTAGACCGCTGGGTCATGTTAAGGCCATATTTTCTGTGTTGCTGTGGGTTTTTTCCATCGCTTTTGTGTTACAAATGTCAAAACAATAACTATATATATCCGTCGTAAACTAAACCAGAAACAGCAGTATATTTTATTTTGTTAACACTGTAAACTTGACAGCTTTTTAACCCAAACCACCTACTGGTTAAAGCACGTTATTACACGTTTAGAGTAATGCAATGCAGGTAGATTGTGTTGCTTTTTAATGACTGTTTAAAATGCCTTTTTCTTAATGTCTTTTATTATTATTAACTACTTGTTACTTGTTGCTAGGGACGCTGCTATCGATATTATTTCTGTTATGTTGTGTGAATGTTTAATGGTGTTAAATGTATTGCTACCCCGTCAATGTATAGTGTTGGTCCACAGCGCAAACATATTAGTTTAACAAAATTCGCATCTAAAATTGTGGCATAGATCTACGTTATTTTCTCCTGTGCAATTCTCCATTTACTCAACAATAACACATAATTATCCTTGTGTTTATTTATTTGTTTGATTAATAAACACAAGTTGGAGTCCGTCAGGACCGAGGGTCGGAGCAGCTCATTTGCTTTAGAGAATATTACACCAGGAAGTAAGTATTCTCTCCGCTTCGCTTGACAAACCCCGTGATAGTCCTCAAGCTCTGTGATTGGAGAGTGTGCTCCGAGGGTTACGCCGAGCGTCGAACAGCACTCGAAATGGGATGGAACCACGGCAGACTGTCCAAAACTGGATTTGAACGGGTCCACCGCATCCCCCCCTCCCCCACCCCGTCCCCAGAACTACACATGCTGGCTATTGTGTTTCGCAACATGTTCTCTATCTATGGCACGTCTCTACTGGGAGTTGTAGTTTTAAAAGACGTTTTCGTATTTCCCATAATCAGAAGTTGCCAGTATTAAACTGTGTACATCCCTGGAGGTTTAGGGGATAGGAAACACTCAAATTAAAAAATATATAATTAATAAATGGGTGAAAATTGCCTGTGCCCATAATGGGCAGCATTAATATATATACCCACATGCCAGCTAAGGTCAGAAGAGCTTTATTTTACAGCTCGTCTTATGTTTGTGACCCCTCCTGTTGTTAATTGATAACATTACATTACATTACATTAATTGTTAAGCCTGAAACATGCACTTATCAAGGTTCAGAGGCACATTTTGCAAATATGGCAGTAGCCATCGATCAGCTTAAGATAAGATATACTTTATTGATCCCAAGTTGGAAACATTTGCGTTATATCAGCATGTGTAACAGTTGTAAATATGCAGTGGTGTTTATTTGTAAATCATTTAGTATAATCACACAAATTCTGTGTTTTATATTTAACAATTCTGTGTTCTTTATTTATTGATTGTTCAATACCTGACAAGGCCGGAGATGAAATATCTACATACATCTTATAAGAGTATAATACATATGTATAATATCAGTTTAAATAAGTGCTTCAACATAGTTAACATTGCTGGAGGTATGCACAAATATTGATAGATGTCTTGTAATGCACTATTGAGGAACCTGCGACCCTAGTTTTTAATTCAATGCATAACTACACCATAGTTGTGTATATGATATGTCAATAAACCTTAGAAAATCTTGAAATCTTGAAAGGGATGTGCAAAATATTCATTATATACAGTCCTTAATTAACTATTAGTAGAGAATAACGAGTAATGAATATACTCTATAGGGATATCTAATAATAAAAATAATGAAATTCAATAACATGCTTTAACCACTAGGTGTCCCTTTATATCAGCTGTGCACCTTTATGGTGTAAATACAGCTTATCTACCAATTGGATCAAATATAAAAGTCAGCCGAATTAGTGTTGATACTGCAAGGAGACGTATTGTGTGAAAAGAAATGTAAGATGTTGTTTAATTGCTGATATATTTATGATCCACGTCACGTTTTCAGTTCCTCATGTTTGTCTCTAAGTCTTCTCATCAGGGCTCTATAAATAGAGAACTACGGCAGATATGTAATATGTAATGCAGCCGAACCGTGTATTACAATGCCGTTATGTGATGACTTTCAAAGAGAAAAGCAAGCACACTCGGAATAAAGTATTATTTTATTTTTAGAAAATGTTTTCGGTCTGTTTCCGGTATTTGTTAATGACGATGTGCTGTGAGATGTGAGACTGGAATTGCACAGGGGAAAATAACGTATCTTTAGATGCGGATTTTGTTACTAATATGTTTGCGCTGTGGACCAACACTATAGATTGATGGGGAAGGGGGTAGCAATAAAGATAACACCATTAAACAGTTACACAACATAACAGAAATAATATCGATAGTAGCGTCCCTAGCAACCACCTTGGTAACAATGAAAACTTTCTATGGACGCAATTTCCTGAAGTAATCTTCGTAATAACTAGGAAACTAAAGATCATGTACATCCACTGCACACATAATCTGAAATAACAACTCATATTTCTCGCATCAAATGACATCGAAACGCATTTTAATGGCCAAACTAACTTTAAAATAGGCATTTTCCACCGAGAATAAAACGAAGTTCGGCCATGTTTTTTTTTCTGCACGGAGAAATTTGAAGATCATGGTTGCTAGGGACGCTGCTATCGATATTATCCATCTTACATTGGAATGAATGGTGAAAAAAAACGGGGTTTGTCAAACAGAGCACATGGTGTAGTCCTAAACGATAGCTGGGGATTCTGGGTAGTGTAGTGTCATCTGCCATCCTTTACTCCGAAAACATATTTGTTTCTCCGAATCGAAGGGAAAAAATACAAAAGCATTGCACACAATTTAATCCCATCAATGTTTTGTAATTAACAAGGATAATCTGGTGTTTTTTAGTCGATGAGTAGTGCAGATATCACTGTAAAATCAATCGACAGTAAGGGGAATACTTACTTCCGGGTGTACAATTCTCCGTTATCCAATGGGAATGGACGCTCACATTGCCTTTTAAGGGCAGCCGACACAAACGAATGCCGTGCTTCCATGAGTGTCAAATCCCACCGCAGATGGGAATATATTGCAATCAGTTGAAAACTATTTGCGTCCCTTTATGAAGCTGAAGGAGCCTAGGAGCGTCACAACTGCACGCCACAGGACCCTGACCAAACGTCGCTCCTGGACGATTATGGAGTGAGAGTGTGTTGTTGTGTGATGAATTTGGGAAGGAATCTTTCTATGTAAAGCCTTGACTATTTAAAATAGCTGCTTCTGAGGAATACAAGCCAAACACAACTCTAGATTAGATTATGCAAAGAGTTTGAAGTGACAGTAACACCAAACAAAATAAAACTGAAACAAAGCTCGTTTTCTTGATATAACATCTAAAAACAAAAGACGATCTGCCTATGTTAGACCTTGATGTAAAAATAATGTACTATTCTCCTTGACTGGACATGTTCAGTTAAATCAGTTGCTATGGTTGTCAAGACGCCATCTATGGCCCTCCTGATCTTGATTATATCAAGTTATTACACGGCTTAGTTGAATAATCGATTCTGATTGGTCAGTTAAGAAATTCCAGAGGTTATTAATACTCATTAACCCGTTGCTAAGCATAACACCCCTGTTGTTAAGGAGGATCAAGGGAAAGAAGCAAAGAGGTTAAAAGACAGCGTTGGAAGTCAGATAAATCAACAGAAGAAGACAAACAGGAAGTCAATACTAGCAGGGACACGCTATGGGGTCTGCAGTGTTTAAGGACTTAATTATCGCATCAGAAACTGTGAACAGACTTTGACAGTTACAGTGAACCTCGATCAGTTCCGCCGTTAATTTTAAGCCACATTGTTGTTGTCACAGTTCAGCCATTGGTCCGCTGTGGAACGGAGATTTGCTCTCTTGGCGGCAGCAATACGATTATTTTTCGTATTATAAGTCAATAAAATAATTTCAATTCATGTCAAGGTGTTATTATTGAAAAAAGAACACCCCTTAACATCCCAAAGCCTGTTTTCTGGACGATATGAAATAATTACCTTGTGATCTTAAGAATAACAAATATTAAAAACTAGCAGTTTTTGGCTTCCGTAGAGATCGACTAGTGGATAGGATTTTGATATCATTAGTTATACATGCTGTTTTATACAAAAGTGTAAAGTTTCAAGAAAATTATTTCAGTTGTGAAAGATGTGATAGGTGTATTGGGAACAAAATGTGTTTCAGTGTCTGATGAATCAGTTTTTTCCTCTGTAATATATTATTTTTTCTGAGCTTTGTCTATGATTCTGCTAACCTATTGTACAGAATAAAGTTTTACTCACTAAAACATGTGCAATGAAATGGGACTATT